TTTTTTAGGTTGCACGCGCGTTTTTTGTTTTGGGCTCTTGGGGGCCGAAAATTTTAGCCGCAACTCGCGCGCAATTTCCCGCAACTCGCGCGCAATTCCCCGCAACTCGCGCGCAATTCCAAAATCCGTATGTGTACCGTTTTATCACGCGCGTTTTTTGAGTTGCACGCGCGCTTTTTACTTCCTGTGTTCTTTTCCAGCTTGTGGGTGCACAGACCTTGGCCCAATCCTAGGGGTAGCTTGGGGATGGAGGGTGTGGGAACATGTATAAATAATGTGCCATTCCTGGGGGCAGGGAAAGCGACCATTGCTTCTGTGGGCCTTGACTCTCCGGGCTTATGGTAAACTGCTGTGTAAAGATACCTAGCCATGTGCTGCAGTCTGCTTGCCAGCTTGATGTCTTGTCACATCATCTTGTGCCCTCATTGCATGCCATATTGAGTGATTTTGTATAGTATGGCCTCTTTAGCATCCTTAGAAACCCTGGCCGACGGGGTGACAATGGTGGCTCGTTCCTGGACAAACATGTCAGAGATCCCTGAAAGCGAGCTGGATGAGCAGATCAAAGCTCTTCATTTGCACTGATATTCCCTAAACCCTATAAACCCTAGCTAAACCTATAAACCCTATAAGCCCTAAACCTATAAACCCGATAAACCCTATAAAACCTATAAACCCGATAAACCCTAAAACCTATAAACCATAAAAGCCCTAAACCTATAAACCCGATAAACCCTAAAACCTATAAACCCTAAAAGCCCTAAACCTATAAACCCGATAAGCCCTAAAACCTATAAACCATAAAAGCCCTAAACCTATAAACCCGATAAACCCTAAAACCTATAAACCCTAAAAGCCCTAAACCTATAAACCCCATAAACCCTAAAACCTATAAACCCCAAAAGCCCTAAACCCTAAAAACCCGATAAACCCTAAAACCTATAAACCCCAAAAGCCCTAAACCCTAAAAGACCCAAGGCAGCACAAGCCAACCTGGATGTGCTTCAGCAACAGCTAGCTGCTACTGATCCCGAACCGATTCCGGCTGCTCTGCCAGGCATGCACTAGCTGGATTCGGATAGTACTTTCGTGTCATGCATAGCATCATGCAAACATACCGTAACATACCCGTTTCTGGCAGGTGCTCCTGCCGTGGCTTCTTCCAGTGGTCAGTTTGCCCCGGGCAATGCTTGTGCAAAGCTTGGGGATCTGAAACAGTCCCACACCACCAGGATGCTGCAGCAATCCTCCAAGTACGGCCAGGAGGAAGCTGAGCCCACGGAGGTTGCTTCCACCCCTCGCAGGCCGCCCGAGTCCAAGGAGGTGGAGTCTATCGAGATTGCTGATAGCCCACCCAGCAGAAGCAAGCTTCCCACCCCCAGAAGCGCCAGCAAATCCGCCCGGCCGGATGTGCGAAGGCAGCTGTTTGGTAGCAGCCGCAGAGCAACCCCTAAGAAAGCAGCGCCTGCACCCAAACCCGAAGGCTACTGGAAGCTACTTGTCCAACTCGTACAGTTACAGTTGTTGAACTTCGTGCAAACTATCTATCAAGCTAATGCATGGACTAAGGGTTCGCCGGCACTTTCAGCCCAATGCCAAGGGGGAGCTGAAATGCTCCCCAAAGGTCCTTGAGATGGGAAAGACCGCGGAGGGACGAGTCTTCGATTGATTGGAGTGCCATGACATCTACATATTTCATATTGAATCGTGGCTACATAAGGTGAGCAGCTTCGCAAGCTCCTGTTGGATCATGGGAGCTTTGAGAAGATAGAAGGGGTTCTGGAGAAGTGGCATATCCAGAAGAAGAACAGCGCAGAGACGGGTGGACTTGTGACAAAGGAGTGGCTCATTGCTAAGAGGTACTATACCCAGCTCCCTTCCTGCATTACAGGTTTTTTCTTGGCAACGGTAAAGCACCCTAGACCCTATAAACCCTAAACCCTTTAAACCTTATAAACCCTATAAATCCCAGAAAGCAGTGGCCTTCGAAATCGTTCATCTGCATCAGGACAATGGCGGACAATGCCTTTGAGTGGGCGAGGCGGAATGGGAAACTGTTCACTTCGGAGATTCATGGTGCCGAAGAGGCTGATATTCCGCTAGACTGGACATGGACCACTAGCAAAGAGTCGGGGCAGAAGACAAAGTTTGCAAGCTCTTTCAGCATGGATGAGCCTCGTCACCTTTGTGGAAGTCTCTCTCTCTCTCTC